AGAGCGTGACTGAGGGTGGCATCACAACCTCCGGATGCGCCCTGCTCTGTACATGACAAGGGCGGCACCCCAACTCCCCAATCAGCCCTGCTCTGAGCCCAACCAGGGGCTGCACCTAGGGATTGGGCCTGCCCTCTGCTACCCGGGAGCAGGCCTAAGCCAGCAGGTCATTATCTCCCGAGGGGCCCCAGACTGCAAGAGGGGCGTGACTGAGGGTGGCATCACAACCTCCGGATGCGCCCTGCTCTGTACATGACAAGGGCGGCACCCCAACTCCCCAATCAGCCCTGCTCTGAGCCCAACCAGGGGCTGCACCTAGGGATTGGGCCTGCCCTCTGCTACCCGGGAGCAGGCCTAAGCCAGCAGGTCATTATCTCCCGAGGGGCCCCAGACTGCAAGAGGGCCCAGGCCGGGCTGAGGGACCACCCCCTCCCCCCCAAGTGCACAAATTTTTGTGCACCAGGCCTCTAGTATAATAATAAGCAGTAGACGCAATAGAAAACACAAGAGGGAGAATCTTTTATAGAACTAGAGTGAAAGCAAACATGGGTATATGCACACAAAACTGGTCACAGGAACAAAAACTATTTACAGCAATATCAGAACGAAAACTATACCAAGTAAAGAAACTGAGAATAAAATTACTTGACAAAGTTTTTGTATTTACAGTTAACTTTAACTAAGTTGGTATGCACCAGTTTAAATGGGCAATGAAAAGATAGCTTATATTTAAAGAGTTTGAACTTAGGCAATGAGATGGCTTTTTGTAACACAAAATAGTCAGATTTGAATTGCATAATGAACTGAATAGTCTTTCTTAAGGTTTACATTTTTTTCTATCTCTGAAAAAGCAAAAAAAAATCAAATAATGAATTATTGGTAAATGAAAGAGGAGAAACTATATTTTATTCTGAAATAGTGTTTATGTTTTTAGAATTGGCTAATATTATCATGTACACATATAATTCTCTAAATCTTACCCAGTTCACTTGATTTCTTCTGAAGCTCCATGGTAAGTATTTTCAATTGGTCTTCATTTTTTTCCAATCTTGTAAAACATAATATTAATTTGCAATGTAAAATATTATTTTAGTGAAAATTCATCTAATAACTAAAATTGGTGCAATCTATCTTAGCACAGATTCATTAATTCAATTATAAAGCATTTTTTGAGTACCTACTTTGTGCCAGATAGTGTAACACTTTAAAATAAAATATTGCTAGTATAAATATATAGTTATATATTAATTAATCTACATAAAATCTTAAAGCTTGTGGTCACAATTTATCTCTTTCTTATTTATGGTAATCAAATTAATATATCCTAGAACTTTGATATTGAGTATGTAACTACTACTATACTGAATTCTGCCTCAGGAACAATATAATTATGAAAACACGTGCAATTTGATTAACTCCTCTGCCTTTCCATTTCCTTGTCTATAAAACTGAGGTAATTAGAACAGATGACATCTAAGATCGTTTACAATTCTAAAATTTGAAAATCAACTAGATAGGTCAATCAAGAATATAAGATTAGCTGAACTAGAAAAGCTAGCTTTTTTCTTTCTTTCCAAGACACAAGCAGTAGAGAAGAAATACTGTTAGGCCCAGTTTATGACTTCAGAGAAAAACTTGTTTCTTTCATCCTAATTACCCTAATTCTAATGAGACAAAAATAACTACCGAGGCCTCATTAACACTGCTTTATATGAATTTTTCCTTAATACAAAGTAATGAAAAACATCAAGTTTTAAATCACATTTTAGATAATTCCAGATGAAATGCGAATGAATAGTTTATTTTATAATTAATCATATTCATTAATTCATTAATCATTAATCCATTAATTTAATAAAAATATTTTAGTACATTCTTTGTACAAGGTTAACTTCTAATTTTACAAATAAGAAAGAATGTTACAGATCTCAGTAAAATAAACCTCACTTCCTCATAAGAAGTTATTTCTATGAAACCAATAATAACTCAGTTTAAATATGTCATATAACTGCATCAGCACTTATCAGCTTATCTATTTAGCTTGATTTTATGGCAAAGTATGTATGGGAACGATCCTAGAAAATACCTGCTATCTTTTCCTAGTATACCTACCTACCCAATACAAACTTTTAAAATGTATTCCCAGTTTATACTTTAAAAAAAAGACTGGTTACAATTGTTAAAGGAATTACAAGTCAGTTGACAATGAATAGAAAATGCACTGAAATTAAGCCTTTTTTATTCATCTAAATAAGAAATATTTTTACCTCTGATGTTCTGTTGTCATTAACTCTTTCAAGTTGCAGATGGTAGTTTTAAGTTCAGTAACCACAAGTGAATTAGCAGCTTTAGCTTTATTAAATTCTTCCATTTGAGTTTCTTTTGCTTCAGTGAGCTGATGTATTTTTTTTGTTGCTATTTGTAAATCTTCCTCTAAAGCCTTTTGAGTACTCTGAATGAAATAAAGTAGAAAACAAAAGCAATGATCCAAGGCCCTTAAGAAAAAAAGCTGAACTCCTCGGCTTCTGTAATTTGCTGTCCCTCCTTATCCTGTCACTCCTCTCTTCTACCCCACCCACTAATCTTATTTCAATTCACCATTCCTCCAAAGCCCACCTAAAGTCTCACCCTCTCCATGGAGACCTCCTAGCCAATCCAGCCTACAGCCTTCTTATATTCTTACTGCTATCGCAGCAATTTTTGCCTGAATCACACTATTGGTACCTAGCGTGAATGATCTTGTATTTTAGTTATATTTTAATGGGTTTTTCAACTAATGTCTCTAATTAAACCATAAGCATTTTGTGACAAGGGATTGTATCCTCTCTATTTGAAGCTATGGGTCCTTGTACAAAGTAATACCATTCCATAAATATTTGTTGACTGATGAATAGTGTGAGACTTATCACACACTAATCAGTTTTTAAATCATACCACACTTCTTTGCAAAGACATTTTACAATCTTCTAGTTCTGATGTTAAATGATCGTGCTTCTCATTTGATTCTTTTAAGTTTTCATCCTGTAATTCTAAAAAAGAAAATTGTAGATAAGTAGTACTTAATAGAAAAGAAAACAAATAACTTGTAACAATTACATTTTTTTCTCCATTAGATACCCCAAAATGAGAAAGAAATATGCAAATATAGATATGCTGGTATTGGTCATCATCAACTTTTATTGACTTTTCAAGATTGTTATTTCCCAAGCACTCAATGGTGAATATATAAAGATTTTCAATGCTACATTTTTAATAATAGCTGAATACTGGAAACAATATCCAAAAGGAGATAGATTAAATTATAGTGGTACATACATACAATTGTATAACATGTAGCCACTATAAATGACCGTACAGATGCTATTTATTATTAATTTGGACAGATATTTATTAAAAATTATAGAATTGCCCAAGCCAGTTTGGCTCAGTGGATAGAGCATCAGCCTGAGGACTGAAGGGTCCTGGGTTTGATTCTGGTCAAGGGCACATACCTTGGTTGCAGGCTCAATCTCTAGTACTGGTCAAGGGCATGCAGGAGGCAACTAATTGATGTCTCTCTCTCTCACATTGATGTTTCCCTCTCTGTGTCTGTCCCTCCCTTCCACTCTCTCTAAAAATCAATGGAAAAATATCCTCTGGTGAGGATTAACGCCCCCTTCCACCCTCCCCCCCAAAAAAACCAAACACTAAACCATGCTAGCCAAGCTGTGGTGTCCATTGTGACACTATTTATTATAGTCTGATAACCAAATGTTTTTTCTGAGAAATAATAGCCACAAACTAGTCCTTAGGTGTGTGTGGTAACTGAACGTATGCTGTCTGAATGTCCCAAAAAGCTGCAAGTCAAAACTTAATTTGAAGTGCTCTTAAGTTCTCCCAGGATCCCAGAGCTACAAATGCAAATTTTCTCTGTAAAAATATACTTCCAACCCAGGTCTTAAAGAATTTCCACAGATGAAGTTATCGGACTTACAATCAAAAACCAAAAGAAAATAAAACACCATGAACAAATTCAGCAGAATAAACAAAAAGCAGACTTGGACCTGCAAAGATTCCCGATGTTCTAATTACTAACTATGGGTTTATTAAAAATAAGTATTATATCAATCAATCTTCAAAAAAGTAAAAGAATAAGGAAGATGTCCATCAACTAAATAAAACTTCTATAAATGACATACATAAAATTAAAACTGGTGTAACGCGGGAGGTATATCATCCAACAAACCATTCCCCTAAAAAGGGATAAAAATTTAGGATGAAATATCAAGAACATTAAAATAATCAATTGTTATTGGAATGCATCAGTGAACAAAAAACAGATCCCTGTTTTCATAGAGCACTTTTCTGAAACTAAATAAGAGTATGAAAGGAAAAGAAGAGTGTATGTACTTTGAAAAAGCTCCCTAAGTGACTCTATTATGCTCTCCTTGTACAGGTTCACTCCAGGCTTGAAATTACAGTATTAGAAAGCAATATAACAAAACTGTGATGAGCCCTGACCAGTTTGGCTCACCAGACAGAGCGTCGGCCTGCGGACTCAAGGGTCCCGGGTTCGATTCAGGTCAAGGGCATGTGCCTTGGTTGTGGGCACATCCCCAGTGGGGAGTGTGCAGGGGGCAGCTGATAGATGTTTCTCTCTCATCGATGTTTCTAACTCTCTATCCCTCTCCCTTCCTCTCTGTAAAATATCAATAAAATATATTTTTTTAAAAAACTGTGATGAAAGCCAAAAATTAAAGCATAACAAAGAAGAATACATAAGACACATTGTTTTATTATATAAATTCTTACTTATTTTTTCTTCTAATTGATTCACTCTATCTCTGGATTCCTCTAGCAGCAATGTTAACTCTTTTATTTTATTTTCTTTCTCATTGTTTTGGATCAATAGGAGTGACACCTAAAATTGAATATTAAATACCACATTATAGATATGAAAAATAAAATATGATACCTTAGCATTTATCATCACCTATGATTACTTTATGTACTTGTTTATATGTTTTTCATCTGGCTGTGCCTAGCATTTAATACATGCTTGCTCAAAAAACCTTTATTAAATGAATGGAGAACCTACAGCAGGTCCTCATGTTTCATTCAATGTTGTTTCATTATAATTTTGAAGCGATGACGTAGGAACTTAACTTTTGTTTATATCAATTAGCCTATGGTAAACTGGTTTCATTATACTTCAATCCAAGAACCTATTGATGACATTAGGTGAGGCTTACTATAATATGACACACCCAATATTATAGTATGCATTTTAACTTACTACTGACATTTTTTTAATTAAATCTTTATTTTTCAGATTATAAAAGTTGTTCCTCTTTTTTCCCTCCATAGCTCCTTTCAACCTGGTCCCCTTCCCCCCTCTCCGCCCTCCCCCCCTCTCCACTGTCCTCATCCATAGGTGCACGATTTTTGTCCAGTCTCTTCCCGCATCCCCCACACCCCTTCCCCCCGCAAGAATAGTCAGTCCACTCCCTTTCTATTCCCCTGATTCTATTATAATCACCAGTTCATTCTGTTCATCAGATTATTCACTTGATTTTCAGATTCACTTGTTGATAGATGTGTATTTGGTGTTCATAATTTGTATCTTTACCATTTTCTTTTTTAAAAATATATTTTATTGATTTTTTTTTTACAGAGAGGAAGGGAGAGAGATAGAGAGTTAGAAACATCGATGAGAGAGAAACATCGATCA